AAGTTGGGATACCACTGTATATATATTTTATATGTATATATGAATTTTTCTATAAGGTTAAAAATCCGCGGGTAAAAAGGTCTACCACCTATATCTCACAAACACATAAAGTTAAAAATTTTGTAACAACAATATTTGAAAGTAGAGGGAAAAATAGGTCACCTTGATTTTTACGACGTCGCTATCAGAGGAAAAATGGCACTGTTTGAAAATCCAAAACAAAATTGTTTTTTTTGTCGTTAGTTTTCTTAGTTGTGGGCACTGTTGTTTAGTTCACAGGACCTCAATATAACTTAGAAATACGTTATTTAATTGTTTTATAATATGTATAGTTATATCCACAGTTTTTTCATATAACCTCTATGATCAAATTTGGGTAAAAATGACCAACTGAACCATTTCTCTGGTAAAGGTGTAAACAATAAAAATAGTAAATATAAAAATAAATTAAGTTAACAAAATCAATTCTACAAGAAATAAGTTAAATAAATATTTATTCCAAATCTACTGATCAATACTGACAAACAGTGTTATCTCTGTAAAATATATACTCTCGAAATTTATATATTGCATTGGTTGGTATTATTTCGTAAAATTATTTTAAAATTAAAAATAACACATTAGATCTGTTTGCCCCTAGTTCTCCCATTTTACCCTGTCTATGGGGTGGATAATTAGAGGATAATTTAGTACTTTATCAAATCTAATCAAACGACATTAACTTAAATTTCTAACTGAATCTGACTACGATTACATAAACTTTTTGAAATTGCATTTTAAATTTTTAGCAATATAGAAACAAATATACATTGCCTCAAAATTTTAATAGTATTGGAATCGATATGAGAAATATTAAATATTCTATTGCTCAATTACTGTAGGTGATTTTAAAATTCTTCGACTATTGCACTTTTGTACCACTACGTCTGATGTCTTCATAGAATTACCACCGGATCTCCATTTAAAAAGCGAGAAGATATTGTTACGTCGGTGAAACACAGCACACAGCAGGCTAGATGGTTTATCTTTTTATCTTTTTTGTCTTTTTTTGCAAGCAATGAAACTGACTGACTGCTCCAAACATGCCGCCAGATTCTCTACAGTGTTGAATGGAGAGATAAAAGTCAAAGGGTTTTATGTTTTATGTTATAATATACGCGGATGAAATTTTAACACTTGACGACATCAAAAGGCAGACCGCAGGAAAGAACAAAATGTTACAGAATATTTTCAGATATGAGGTAAAATTTGTTTGGTCGAAATTTGGATGTCGAAGTAATAAAACATTCCTGTGGAGCAATTCAATTCAGACGTGACCACAGTTGAAATATTTGCACAAGTGCAATAGTATTCTATTCTTTAGAGAATGTGATCATCATCAACACCATTTTGTTGGATTCTAGATCGTCCATCATCAATTTCGGCTAACCCACGCGTGCGGTGCCATTAAAATTGATTGCGCCTCGCCTTCCAATTAATCTTTACGCGAACAGAATTAGCGTCTGTGATTTATTCGCAAGGCACCACTTGCAAAACGCATCTGACACACTACTAGACTATTTCCAGACGATTTCAAAGAGAGAAATAAAGTCTTAACTTCAAATTAGCCGAGCTTCAAATGAGCCAAAAACTGCGAGAGTTACGAGTCGAGAGTCTCATGCAAGATTGAAAATTCATTGAGCTGATTGTATGAAAATGTTGTAGATTGTCTGAAATTATTCTGAAATTTTTGAAATTACAGTGAATTGCCTGACGTGTTGTGAATTATCTGAAACTATTCGGGATTAACTGAAATTGGTTGACTAAAAGTGTTCTAGGTCGCCTGAAAATGTTGTAGGTTGCCTGAGAAATACTTTATATTATCTGAGAAATGTTTTAGATGTTTGAAAATGCTGCAGGCTATATAATTTGAATAAATTACAATAAACGTTGATTCTAGTTCATATGAAAGTTAAATTAACTAAGTTCAATATATTCTGAACTAAACATTACTGACATAAAGTTATATTGCATAAACAAAAGATAAAACATAAATTAGGTGTGACTATAAATATTAGGCATTTCTCATTAAAACAAGTTGCAAATATCATATAATAGTGACTATTAAATTTTAAAATTTGGCACGGTTCTTCAATAGTTTTTATATTTAAATCCCTTTTGGTAGACCCTTAGAATTTCAAAAATTAATTACGATTTTTACCAAACTGTAATCTTTGACATAGCTACAGAATAGAGTTTTTAAAATCGATTCAGAATTCTTGAACGTCATCTAAATACTTAGCATTTTTTGTAAGTTGTGATAAATACGTCTTGGTCGATCCTCAAATAACAAATCAAAGTGAATCCTTATCAAATTTATCAGAAGACTTCGAAATATTTAAAAAAATATTTTTTGGTTTCAAATTTTGGCTACACACATGTTTTTAACTTCCCGAAGGAGAAGTTTGTTTTTATCAAAAAATCCGATTCGCTAATTTTATGTTTTCTCGACGTTTCAAGCCATTCTGAATCGAATGAGACCAAATTTGTAAAAAGTATGTGTATGTGTATGTGTGTGTGCGTATGCGTGTATGTGAACAGATTTTTTTTCAATTTTTATGTCAAATGGTTCAGATTTACTTAAACAGGCGAGAAAACGTAATCTTTATTGGGAATATACTAGTAATCAATCTTTTATCAAATTAGAAAACACGTTGGCAGTTACATAACTTTTTTAATATTTTGCAGCTTTAATTAGTTCTTGTAAATACACCTAAGTCTGTTTTTACACGGTCTTTTTGTACACGGTTTTGATATAACACGGTTTGAAAATTGAATATTTTTAAATTTTTTACACGAATTTATTCCATTTAGCACGATTTGAAATTTTATGTACCTAATTTTTTTTTGTCAAATTAAATTTTTGCGAAGTATGTTCATATCACAAAAAAGTATTTATGAAAGAAAAAAGTCTGAAACCATCGATAGTATCGATAGTTTGCGAACACTAGCTTAAAGATTTAAGTGAATTCCCCTTTAGCGTGTACAAACAATTTTTACTGGTCAAAGCAAATGTGAATAGCACTAATTTAATTCTTGTTCTTAAAAATTCTTGTTTTTCACCAATTTTAATAGGTTTTAGAGATTAGGAACAAATCACCCATTTTTGTATAAGATCAATGTCTTTTTTTACACGTTTTTTTTTTTTACACGGATTCTTCTGGAACCAATCTCCGTGTAAAAACAGACTTAGGTGTATAATTGTTATACTAATAGCACAAATATACATGTTTTTTCATACAGGAGTCTTCATTTTTCAATAGTTGGTTCGTAGGCTGACTTGAACTGTGATTAGAAATAACATGAGATTTTGTATTGTCAGTTAATAGCATCAACTTTATTAACTATAATTCAGTTCCCTAAAAAACTTGAGAAACAGACTTTTGATCTATATTTTCAAGTTGAACTATATTGAACCGCATAATTTCGCGTAATAACTACGAATTACTCTTTTTTTATATATCTCGGAAAGTTAACTATAACATATTTAAATTTTTCAAAACTTTTACAACATCAAAATTCTAAGAATCTTTAATAAATATTGATATAATAATAAGTACTTTGTTGTTAATGTTTAACTTCCCGAAGGGGAAGATGTTTTTTCGGTTCATCAGTTACAACTGCTAAATAACATTTAGTAACATTAGATAATAAGAATTAGAAATAAAATATAATACAAAATAAACGACAGTATAAAAATTGATTTGCTAATTTTATGTTTTCTCGAGTTTATATTTTGGGAAAAGTATGTGTGTATTTTTTTAAGCTAATTTTCTACTTTTATAGGTATCATCGAAGTTTTCTCAAAAACGGCTAAGCCGATTTCAAAAATTTAAAGATTATGCGATGATACTTAGCAGAAAAGTGTAAAAGTTTTTGCCCACTTTTTATAAAAAAAAAATTGAATCGATTGCAAAAAAATTCGAAAACTGAATCAGAATTCAAAAACTGATATTAATTGGGAATCGCTTTTATTATATTTCTGGCAAAGATCGGCCGGGGCCATTTCTTTGTAATTAAGTGTAGGATAATTTTGATGAAACTTTGTATAACCATATTTGATGTAGTTTAAAATAACAAACTAAAATATTATAGGGTTTCGATAAGCTTTTTTTAAAATTTAGAATTTTAGCTTAAACGATTCTAATCAGAATCTATGCCGAGCATCTGTATATGTTCTGTGTTTTATTTTGGTGGATAGTTGACGTCCACACCTTAAATAAAAAAAATTTTACTATATTTTTAATTACAATCTGTCACACTTGAGACATTGAGTAATTGTTTTGACATTTTCTTATTATATGAATGGATGGCAACCCAGTAGTTGTCCAGTCCAGGTTTGACTAATTATCTATACTCGAAGTATTTGTTGACTTTTTATTATAGATGCAACTATACCCACGAGAGGCGATTTTTACTTGATGCTATATTTGAGATCTATAACCTCAAGTGGAAATTTGACATCAAAGTTGCCTGATGTCGGGCTATGACGGTAGAAAATACATTTTTGGAACACAAAATAGAGAAATTGTGATGTGTTAAACATATTAATTCAATCTATAAAATTGCAAACATTTTAATAAGTTTACAAGACACCAATTGGAAATCATATTGCTCATTTTTTAGTGAAAGCAAAACTATTGTTTGCGAATAACAGTTGAACCATTTTACCTAAATATCAGAATCTCAATTTCTAATAATTAAGTTTATTATGGATTGAACTAATTTTAGAAGCAAGAAAATAAGTATAGTATTGTATTGGAAAATACGTATAGTATTGGAATATTTATGCAACTTACAACAAAAGACTTAAATATTTTCTCATATGTCAGGACACCACTATATTCATATTACTATCAATAGTTTGTTATTTAGTCACCTATAAACTATTTAAATAAAAATAAATTTATCACCATTTTTTTTACCTTATTTATTTAAATATGTCCTGTTATCTCTTTCAGCCAGCCGCGAAAGCGCCTTCGTGCACGCGATAGCTGCTGCAGGAGTGGCTGTGCAGGTGTCGAGAGCGTGCCGAGACGGCCGACTGGCCTCCTGCGGCTGCTCGAGGGCGCCCAGGCCCAGGGACCTCCAAAAGGAATGGGTCTGGGGCGGATGCGGCGACAACCTGGAATACGGAGCCAAGTAAGTGAATAAGTGATCAATGTCGATGTTAGAAATTGGTGGAAATTGATGGAAATTGATGTCTGTATTTGGTTCAATCGTAATGTTGTAAATCATGACTGAACTTGAATTTTATTATGCTGCCTGAAAGTTTACACGTGATAAAAAAGAAAAAATCTAAAACATCTACCAAAATGTAGTTGTAAATCATTTTAAAAACTTCTGCGAATGCCTGTGTGTTTATTGTTTCCATTACTGTTTTATTGCCATGAATTAACCATTAATTTCATTATATTAGTTTTTATGAATTTTTCTTTCGAAACTTCTGTTTTCTTGCTTTCTAGTCATGTCCATCTGTATTTTTTTTCTTTCTAATCCTTTCAGTCCTTGTATTTTGTTTTCGACGACGTTATGTGGAATGCACTTTTTTGCAGAATGGATCCGATCCAGTTTCATTTTCTTTTCAGGATTGTGCTCAGTATAATCATTTCTTCGGCCAATCTTCATAGGACTTCTTTATCTGTTCACTTTATTTTTTCCATTTGCCTTCAGCATCAGTAATTGTTCTGAATGAATATTTTATATAAAATTTATTTAATATTATAATCGAAAAATTTTATTTTTGTCGATTTTGTTATCCAAAAATCGGCCCATTAGTCTTTAATTTCATTTATGTCATCTGCCTACTTGATATATTTCCTAACATACTTCAGCGCTTGACATATTAGAGAAATGATTTTATCTTTTGCTAAAATATTTGCTCCTAGAATAGATAGATCTATTTATTTATATCATTAAGAGTAAGATGTGATCTTAATAGAGCATTCAAGGAAATATATAATATGTGCATCTCTGGTAAAAATTCAGTACTTACCCAACAGCGTTCCTTACAAATGAAAAATGACAAACCGTTTCTTGTATCAGGAAATAGTATCGATAGAGGAGGTGCGGTGTAATTAAAATAACTTAATACTGATTACTCTGCGTGACTTTAAATTTTTTCAGGGATGTTATGATAGTAATAGTATTACGGAGATGCTAATTATAATAAAACCAACAGACTACTAATTTGTTAATTTTACCTCAAAGTACAATAAAAACATATTTTGTTTCGTGCATTCGAAAGTTTTTTAAGTAAATTTTGAGTGTGGACGAAAATTGACTGATTTCTTTGGTGGATTTTTTTATGCTGTTCTTTCCAATATCTTCAAGATTTCTTAAAAACCATTCTAAATGAGAGTGCTGGTACAAAATTTTGATGCTCTATTGCATCCTAGATTTAAAATTGGATAACATGCAATCGGCAAGCTCATGAGTGTTACTGATTTTTTGTTTTCCAGGAAGTTTGTTACGACCAAACCGAATGACTCCCAGGTTTTCTGATCGACTTTATATATTGATAAAATCATGACATGTTGATTATTGAGTTGCCTAATTTGAGGACCATTGAATGTATCAATTATGATTTTTTTATCTTCTGTTTTAACCTTAGTCTTTCAATCTATCATATGGTAGGCAGAAAATGTAGATATTCTAGGTTGTTCATTGATGGCATGGATAGGGATCGTAAAAAGGGTCCATGATCACTGAGGTTATGAGAGCTATGATCATTTGCTTCTATTGCTTGAATGTATTACATTGATATTTACCAAGAAACAGTCGTCGTGGTGCTTCAAAGGTTTTTGAAGTAAAACTGCTTTAGGCGCGAAAATGCGCAGAGCGTTACGCTCGAGTCGAGTGCCAATGATTCGTCATTCGATCTTGATGATATTATTTCTAAACGGCCCGATTGTGATTGGTCGTCGTGTCGCATGAGTATGATTGCTTTGATAGTATGCATAAACGTAGTGTGTCCCCGCATTTAGTGAAAATATTAAAAAAATGAAAAATCTGTGCGGTGTAAGAAACGTAAGTTTATTGAAATAATTTGTATTACTCGTGGTTACTATATATTTTTAGAAATTATCTTTATAGGCAAGACACATAATACAGATGCTCAAAGAATGAGACTGTATCGCTAGCGAGATATCAAAAAAAAAAACAAACAGTCAATGAATGTAAGTTAATTTTAATTACATGGCAAGTGAAACAACTGTTCTCATTCAAATGTCAAAGCTTACAATTTCATTTTAGTGATACTGAACGTAAAATATTGCAAAGTTGCATATTTTATAAATAATATTACTAATGAAGAATGAATTGATAATCAGATTTATTACTCTAAATAAGAGATCAATCACAACAATAGTTTGTGTAGCAGTATATCATTTATATACAGATATACTTTATAATGGACATCTCTGCAGTTTATTTATTGATAGTGTTAATGAAATTATTCAAGATTGTTATATTACAGCTGCCCACTGTGTGAACGAATATTAGAGAATTTATTAATCAGTAATTACTTCATTTCTCTAAGGTTCAGGTTCTAAATTCTAATTACAATGACAAACCGATCATGCCGTATTTGAAGTATGATAAATAATTATGTAAAATGTTTGACATTAAAAAAATGTGTGCATCGTGAGTGTTACCATATTACTAATAAACATTCAAAATTGTTATAAGATGTATTTATTTACAACTGAAATGCCATCCTGTGATAACAAAAAAGTTTTATTTTAATCGCGTGTGAACTTTACGCGCACTCTTTTATTTTCAAATGACGGGGGTATAAAAATTATAGGCACATAGTATATAGAACTCATATTTTATCTTGATTGCACAATTCTGTTTTAATGTGGTTGAAATATGCTGTCTTCGCGCAGTTCAATATAAGTTTTCAGTATTTCTTAAAAACATTTTCACTACAGATCTAACATGAAGTTTCTTGATTATGTGCATACTGTCTTAGAGTCAAAGCCATACCGAAAACAGCAGATATAACACTTGAATTGATTATTGAAATGATGGGGGTAGTTTCCTAAGGTATGGCAAAATGTTTAGGAAATTATTATTTACCTCTTGGGTCGTCCTCTTCCGGTGTCCCCTATACAACCGGCATTCCCATGCAATATAGAATTGTCATGTTCATGTTATCTATTCTTTCGTTTATTCCAACAGCCTTCCATTACCATCGCCGTGAGTAATAAATTCACAATTCATTTGAGTCGCAATCAGCAATCGGTCTATGTCCATGCCAAAGAAAAGAACTAACCTAAGAGTACGAATACGAGTACGAGTGCGTTCTAATGACTCTAACATTCACAATAAATAACTGACATGGATAGAAATGACAAAACTGATTCCGACGATAGAAAACTATGTACTATAGGATAGATAGATAGTTGAGAGGCAGCGGTTGGGAAACTTGGAACAGGTGATTGGTTGATAAAAAAAGTTGTTTGAAGTTCTAGAAAATTTGGAAAAAGTAAGCTAAAATTTGGAAAATACAAAATAGACCTTCTCCAATCAGTGATGATCAATACTAAATTAATTGTAATAATTAAAACACTTGTCGAGATCGTCTTATCTCGATCAATCATATCAACTCGTTTCGAATAACCACATCGGTGACCAGTAACGAATCAGTATTTGTGGCGTAACGTGTTTCCGTTGCTTTTTTACTGAGAGGGTAACCTGGGAAGGTTACTCCATACAAATATCTTCATAGTAATTACAATAGAATAGAATGCAACTAGTTATATAATTATCAAATACTAGCTGACTCGGCAAACGTTGTTTTGCTAAGTAATGTATATTCTAAACAATTTCTAGAGAATCAAAAATATTAATACTTTTAGTGTAGGTGTTGTTTGATTGCTATATACAATGAGGTATTATAAACCCCATTAGTTTGTCTATATTTTGTCAATACAATCAAAATGGAAGTTTTATACACTTTCTATAGAAAACATGGTATAATCCAATCCAAGTCTTTTTTGGTCTTTCGACTTATTGACTACGTTTCAAGTTTTTCAGATTCTTTTTTTGGATTCTGGATTTTGTGTATAATTGTAAATAATACTACTGAGCTTATAAAAAATTTTCAAGTTTCTGCAAAGAGAGATAGAAAATGAATTAAGTATTTCTTCTTTGACCTGCTTTTTGTAAAGTTTCAAGTAACATTCGATGAATTAAAGTAAATTCAATTAAAAGTATTGTTGTGCGCCAGCACCCTTATATTCAATTATTCACTATCTATGCTTTATGGACTCATCATCCCTCTATGGTGTTGTGTGTCAGCCCCTTATATTCAACACTTTGCTGTACCAGACTCTATGGAACCGGACTCTATGACGGACTAACGTCACTCTATGGAATACCTGAACTACAACCCTTCAGGATTCCGCTCTATATATGAGCTCTACGGGCAATATTTCCGGCTCGAACGGGAGCCTCTAGGATGATGTGAAAATCGGCATTCTCTACCTAACCTCAGTGGCATACATTTGAACGCATTAATCATATATTAAATATAATTGTTGTTTGTCTGAAATATATCTTTGTGAAAGTTGATAGTTTTCTTTATAAATACCTCCTTCGCTAAAGCAAAATCCTAACAGTATATATGTAGAGCAGGGCGAGATACAAAGGTCTAATTTGACTTTGAGCAAATATAAACAATATTGTGAAAACCATAACAATTATATCACAACAAATAACACATTTCAAACGAACAATTATCTGACTACGTTCAGTAAAACTGCCAGCTACTTCATTTACAAAATAATTACATTTTTAACTAAATAACTAGCTAAAAAACTACCAACAGAAGAAAATACTTTTATTATGGATTTTCAAAGATTACCGTTTATCTCCCGACAGCAAAGTCATGAGAACCAAGGTTATAGCTGGTTATACATCTTTTTCCCTCTACTTTCAAATATTGTTTTTAAACAATGCTTAACTTTACTGGATTTTGACACATCAGTGGTGGACCTTTTTAACCCCGGACCTTCATATATTACTATCTATTCTTCGATAAATTCTGGAAAAATGTTATTCGACAAAATATCCCTCTGATCGATACCAAATTTAGGTTCTGAATTTAAATAACGTAAATTTAAAATAATATAACC